TATATATTTTTTTTTTTTTTTTCCATCTTCTTCAACGTCTCTACTCTCGACGCTTATGTTTAGATCGAGACTTTTTTTTCCCTTCAATTTCACGTGACGCAGCAGGGGATTTATGGGATGAAGAAAATCCCCAGTTGCGCTGCTGTAAAATTTCTTTCATAAGAAATATATATATTTTATCTTTATATAAAATTAAATGTATCAATAGATGATCCGTAGGAGAAATTCATTGGAAAGTTAACGATTATATTCTCAAGATTAAATTTTTTCTTCAGCGCTGACACATATATATTCACTAAATTTATAATTTTATTTCATTACTTTTATAGCTACACTTTTCAACAAATTAAAAATTTTCTGTCAGTATCAACACAGATAATTAAATTAATTAATTAATTTAATTATTCCAACTATTTTACTTCAGCGGTAACGAAATTTTCATGACTTTTCAACCCAGATATTTTTTTAAAAATAATATATTCATTTTTCATTGGTTATTTTTGGTACTTAAAACTTGTATTGAAAATTCTGAAACAGGTTGGAATATGAGCCTGAGGCTATTTGATGCGCTATCGTTGAGAAAAATCTTCGGCAATTTACTTTAATAGAGTTACCGTATACATTTTTTCAATCTACTATTTTAGATATATTTATTTCAGAATTTTTTTTTATATTAAAATTAGTTGATTAATTTATATATTCATTTTTAATTGCGCAGAAAAATTTGAACATTTTTAAGTTAATAATTTATTGTTAAATAAAATTGTTATCTTAGAAATTTTCATTACTCATTTTTCTGCTCTTTAGAATTTAATAATAAAATTAAGACACTTGATATTTTTTTTAATAAATAAATTATAAAAAAAAAAATTAGAAAAATTTTTTATAACTAATTAATTTATTTAAAAAATTGTAAAATTAATGCAATTAAAATGTAACAAAAAATAAAATTAGTTCATTTTTATATTTTAAATTTTTAAATAAAAAATAACATAATTAAATAAATAATTGCATAACATAAGTTGCAAAAAAATCTTTCTGCTCTTTAGAATTTAATAATAAAATTAAGAGAGATTTGATCATTTTTTTTTAATAAATAAATTATAAAAAAAAATTAGAAAAATTTTTAATTTTTTATAACTAATTTGATTGAATTAGTTACCCTAAATCACATAATTAATTAATTTAAAAAATTGCAAAATTAATGCAATTAAAATGTAACAAGAAATAAAATTAGTTTTTTTTTTTTAAATAAAAAATAACATAATTAAATAAATAATTGCATTAATTTATACTGTATAATTAAATAGCTCTAAATTAGTTGCAAAAAAATTTTTAAGGCACTAATTTTGGCTCTTTGTAATTGACTTTCATTTTACTAGATGTAAATATTTAAACAAATACAAAAAAATTTTAATAGATTAATTTAAATTTCTAGTTTATTTATTTTGTAATTAAATACAATTTTTAATTAAAAAAAATTAACAATAAAGATATTAAATAAAAAACAAACAGATAATTTACCAAAAAATTATTTTTTCAACAAAGCGTACTTCCACATCTGAAGACACAACAATCACATTAAATAAAAGTCTTGTCGTATAGTAACCTAAAAGATTTCGTCATTCATATAGGCAATTAAGGACTATCCATTCCATTTTCTCGCCAAGCCAATAATGTGTTCATGTCGCTGATCCCGCGAGTGCTCCACGGCTCAAGGGGATCCGTAGGTGAGGCTGGAGTTGAAGTAGTTTCTTTTTGCTGACTATCGTAGCTTCCCCTGGTATTAACTTCTTTCGGCGATACTCTGTTGGAAAAAAAAATTATTTATATTAAATAATAATAATAATAATAATAATAAAAAGAGAAATTTAACTTTTTCAGTAAAAATTAGTGACAAAAAAAAAAAGAATAATATTGTAGTTGTTATTTTACAGAGTGTAATCTTTGAGCAGAACAATATGAGGCATAAAATTATTCGGTAAATTCAGACAAACGAGTCAGGGTGTATTTGGTTGGGTTGGCTGGTAGTTGGTTGGTTGGTTGGGTAGTGAAAGAAAATTTTGTTTATGACGGTTAGCAGTTGCTGGTTGTATGGCTGTTGGATTTTCCGTTTCTCATTTTCTCTTTTTAACTTGACATTGTTTTCTTTAGTTTTTATTTTTAGTTGGTTGTAAAAATACGAGGCCACAAGCTAGTAGTATTCTCGACCCGAAACAATGTTTTTATTTTACTTAAATTTTTTTATTTATTATTATTATGATTATTATTGTACTCGACTACTCATTTATCCTTTTTTTCTCACCAAGATTATTTTTAAAAATAATTTTCTCTTGAAATATTTTAAAATATTTCTTGCTTCAAGTGGCGAACAAGATCGCGTGCAATATTCTTAAGACCAGCCCGTGCAGTAGTGCAGAGCAAGTCCGCACTAGCAGCCGAGAACGAGAACGAGAACGTGAACGAGAACATGAACGAGAACGAGTTGAGGAAAAAGAGAGGAAAATAAAATAGCCGCGTTATCGTGCTCGTCGGTTTGTATGATATGACTTTAGTTGATGTTATGTATAGTAAAGTTGTTTAGAAGAGAGATTTTAGTGCAGTAGTTACCTGTTTTTAGCAGTTTTAGCACGACGTTTGTGATTTTTATTGACGTTTTGCGGGTGATTCTTTTCGTCCCTGGTAGCCGTCTCAAGCTTCTCATTTTCCCAACGAGCGTCTTTAACGTCTGATTTCACTCGCTCGGGTTTATTTTCTCGGTTCATATCCGACGATGACGACGCAGATGACACCGTTGTATTTTTCACCTTTGAAGTAGATTCGTTTACACAACCGTTTGTAAGTATAACACCACTCGGGGGATTTTCCTCTGATGAAGAATAATAATCAAACAACCTGACACCAACGCCGTTCTGTTTATTCTCATCCACTGAGTTTGTTTCTTTCTTGTATCTCATGCTCGCTGATTTTATTCTCCTCAGTCTTGAGTCCGTACCCAATAGATTGCCTTCGAAGTTAAAACAAAATAAATATCTTCGAAAAGGTTTAATCAAGTTTTATTTTAAAAATTTTGGGATTTTCTAGTCTACAAATTTTTTTAATCTATATTATTAAGAGGAATAAGAACAATTTTGTGGTCTGGGTATTCATATGATGAAATCGATTTTTTTAGTGAAATTTAGTATCATTGCAAAGGTCTTGACTTGAATTTGTGCCTTTTCAAGGTTTCATATCATTCCCAGCGGTAGTTAATTTATGATGATAAGTATTTAGGCTGCATTCGAAAATGATAGAGGTAGATACCTCTAGATACATAATTAAGAAATGACTTAGTATCTTGTGAACTATTGACATTTTTAAAGATATAAGCTCATCCCGATGTTACACTCATCGAGACCTTTCATTTGAGTACCCACATCAATTTTTCATATATTTTATATATTTATATATATTATATATTTGTATGGATGAAAAATATGTCAAAATACATGTGGGTATTCAAATGAAAGCTCTTGATGAGTGTAACACCGTAATGAGCTTATATCTTTAATAACGTCAATAGTTAAGAAAATACAGTGGAATTTAATATAATTAAGAAATGACCTTCACCTTGTATCTTGTGAACTATTGACATTTTTAAAGATATAAACTCATTCCGAAATTACACTCATCGAGACCTTTCATTTGAGTACCCACATCAATTTTTCATATATTTATATATATTATATATATATATGAATATGTGAAAAATATATCAAATTGCATGTGGGTACTCAAATGAAAGCTCTTGATGAGTGTAACGTCGAGATTAGCTTATATCTTTAAAAACGTCAATAGTTAAGGAAGTACGGTCCATTTTAACAAAAGTCTATATTTAATTAAACAAAATTTTATTTATGTATAGCTCACAATTCTCGACAGTCACATAGTGCTATATATAATTAAGACAATCAAAAAAAGTTTGCTTCGTGTATTTATATGATAAAATTAGTTTCTAAATCAAATTTAGTATCATTGGAAAGGTCGAGACCTGAATTAGTGCCTTTTCAATGTTTCATATGATTTTCTAAAATAGTTTATTTATTATTATTACACTGAAAAAAAAGTTTAAGTCCTATTGGTATACTCTTTTTTAATGAATTGGTATTGCGAATATGATGTAAAAGAGTTTAAGTATAATCGCAATATTCGGTTTAAGTGAGTGACTTATATTTTCCGTACGATACTATTGCAAGTCTAGAGAGTATAGTAAAAAAAGTTCCCGTGTAAAAATAAAAACATTGTCAATCGAGATTAACCTAAATTACAATAATTGTAACATTAGTGTTTTAACTATTATTTTTTAATAAATAAAATTAAAAAATTACCAAAAATAAAAAAATATTAACATATGTGAGTCGCCAGGAACAACTTAGATATTGTAATTTTTTTAATTTTAATTAAGCAAACATCTGACAGCTCTTATGAGTTTTTCATAAGTACAAAATTACTATAAAATCAAATAAATATTTGAAAAAGGTAAAAAATTTCGAAAAAGGTTTAAAAAAAATTTTGGTTTAATATAAGTAATTTTTTTAATTGGATCAAAACGTTGTCAGACGTTTGTTAATTTTAGAATCATTTCTATATTTTCTTTGGGAGGAATTCTGTTGATAATAAGTATTCGTTAAAATTCATATTTAGATGAAGAAATTGATAAGGCAGCTTTTGCCAATTTAACAGAAGAGGTAATAAAAAGAATTATTCCAAAAGCTGGCCCTCAAATCAAGTTCTGGTCCAAATGGAAGGTGGAATTTAGTGATACTTTTGTCCTTCAACCCGTAGGAATACCTAACATTAGTTATTTGTTTCAGTACTGTTGATTTCTATTCAATTTAATTAATTATTCCGATCAATCATTTATAATTGTACGATCTAACCATTACTAAAATTATTATTTGGACATTAAAAACTACCCTGATTTAAAAAAAGTATTGAACCATGCAACTGTATATCTATATTGTATGTATATATAGATATACAGTGTGTGAAAAGTATTGAAAAAGTATTGAATTACATACTTTTT